ACTAAAGGTGTTGTACCAGTAACAATAGCATGCCGTGATCATAAATTATAGAGTCGTACTGGAGTCAAAGACTTGAACCAGGAGATTGTCTTCAGTCCTGGTGTCAGTTTCACAGAGACAGACTTTGACTGTGGCTTAGATCAAATAGTCAGACTTCAGATAAACATTTAAATTCATCCCTTGCACAAAGCAGTTTAGCTCCTGACTATCTTAAACCGGATTGTGGTACAATGAATTCTGGGTAAATTAAGAGTTTTTTTCAAAATAAAAAAAAAGAACAATAAAAAATCTGTATAATCTGATTAGAAAAAAAAGTTGCTGCAGTCTCTAAAAACTCCTTCACTTTTCTTTGCTCTCTCTCATAACAACGTTAGCAAACCACAAATTCTGAGCCATGTTTTCCTGTTTTTTTTTTTGCTGTGTGCTACTTGTCAGCGCAGGTGTCACTGATTGTTACCATGGTAACATTGGTTTTAGGCCTGAGTTAGCCTGTCTTAAAATTAGTCAGTCTTAGTTTTGTGAAGCAGTCTGACCTGCATTAGACTAATCTATGAGAAAAATTAAGACCGGACCAAAACTACAGACCGGTCTGAAATATCTTTGTGAAACTGGCCCCCGATTCCCAGGGCACGTGACTCTTCTTTGGTGACTGGGACTTGGACTTGGACTCGAACACTAGGGACTCATGACACAACTCAGACTTGAGGTTTTGGTGACTGGACTACAACACAGGTGGAAGCACATTAGAGATGTATGCTCTTCATGCTAACCTGCTTGTTAAGAATTAAGTTGTTGAGATGAGAAAGTAGGCTGCACTACAAATTCCTGTGAAAGCAAATAGATAATAGATATTTTTTAATGCTGTTAGACAGTCGAAGTCCACATTAATAAGCCGTCTGACTTCTGTCTGATTCACTAGTCTCCTGCTCCAGCAATGGAATCACTGAGAAGACAAACTGCTGTAAACTGAGGCATGGAGAATTTTTAGGAAGATCACTAACCACATAAATCTGCAGCTGGTGGCTCTCATACCCAGGTTCATCATTAATGTGCAATATTTAGACAAAATAACAGGAACATTTTAAATTTAACAGTAGCCTGAAGTGTGAAGCTTATAATATTTAATATTTCAGATATCATCAGGGTCATTTTTTTGGTATGTGGTTTAATTTAATTACATTATATTGTGCGGTATTCCTGTTATTTTGTTATTCCTTGTATCTATATAAACCTTACAAGTAAACCCCTTAAACACCATTTCAGAAACCTCCTAGAAAGGAAATGACAATCTATATTATGAATGAGATGACAAAGTGGCATAACTAAATCTCTTCTATGAATACTATCACACTGATAGGCTCTTCAGTGAGACTTTTCCTTTCCAAAGACATTACCCATACAAATGCAGACTGATGACTTCTATGGGAATTACACAGCAATTTACAACGCTGCCCCATCCACGCCCCATCCTGAGCCTCAGTCTCATTTAGCACCTGTGATGGCTGCAGTGCCGCATGGAGGGGAGGTTTCAGCCTGTGAAGGTGGCCTGAAGTACGTGTCCAGCATGGGGAAGAGACATTGTCTAATTGCTTGGCTGGAAATAGCCTGTGGTGGGGAGGGTTTGCTCAGCTGGTGCACAGGGAAAAGGGATTGCCCCATCCTGTTAAATCACCACCCTGACCTTTGCCCTCACTGTGGCCACTCTGGCTGATGCTACTGCACACGGATACACACGCCCAGCACTAATACGCATGAGCATACACATGGACAGACACAGAGAGACACACATACAATATATCACTGACATGGCTGTGGTAATAACAGAGATGACCCCAATCATCAGAGGCAGGAAAAAGGGAAACTGAGCCCTATTCCCTTGCCAAGGCTACATTTTATCGCTCGCCCCCATTGTGCCCTCCTGATGACATGGCATTGGAGGTTGATCACTTATAATAGAGTCCAGCCGAGGTGCAGATTAAAAGTACAAATCACGTTGTGAACAACTTGAGCAGAGCTGCAATGTGTAACCTCCATCTAGGTGCGAGGGCTTTAAACCACAGTGCTCTCCTGGTTCCAATCACACAGCTTCACTCAGGGAAGATAAGAGATAACAGAGCACAGTGTTGGGACAAAACATCAAAGGAACTGTGTGAGTGTGATGCTTCAGAGAGGATATTAACCCAGGCGTTCCTGCCTCTCAGCACATGTGGCTGGATGTGAACTTTCTTATATTCTCTCCCTTCAATTCTCCCCCAGCAGCAGATGGAAGCAGGTCGAGGAGCAACTGCGATGACGTTAATTTCCCCACACGCGGGGTGTCCCCTGTGAGAAGGAGTTAAGTGCTGCTCTCTTTTTCGCTCACGCCACACGAAATGTTCCCACCGGTGAATAAAATGTCACGTCTGCTGATGAGCGTCACCTCACTGATCCATGAAGCTCAGCAGACAAAGTTCCCCCAGAGAGAGGGGGATCTTGAAATAACATGATGTTGTTGGACTGAGTATAATCTCAGCATGCATCTACTGCTGCTTCCCACTTTTCCCTGGAGCACAGAGGGGAAGGTCATTCATCAAAAGTCACATATTAGTCATCAAAATGTGAACGGCATGGGGTCGAAATAGTGACCCCAGATCATACTGAGATGCAGCGGGTGTAGAGGTCAGCCGTTAACAGATGACTCCACATCAACCAAATGGGAAGAGGGAAGAGGTGGGGGCGGTTGTTGGATGTACCGGCGCTCTCCTCCTCCCAGACTGGGAGATGAGGAAGACTGACAAATGAGTGCACAGCAGCTGGATAGGTCTCATGAGAAATCTGGGCTGGCTGCAGGCGAAGCAGACAGAGTGGGATGATTGGCTCAGGTTTGGCTCAACTCCCTCTCCACAGAATATCCGCCGTCTCCAGCCACAACATGCAGGTTGTTCAAGGCGACATACGGTTGAGTGCCGTGAGTGTTTGCATGGTGACACACTGATGTTATGGCTTCTTTTCCAATTCCTTCTCATTTGACATGGCACAATGACTATGTATTTAAAGTTCAGACTGTCAGGTTTAATTTAAGGGTAGTCTCAGATGGACTGGTTGCGCTGAAGAGCTACAGTCATTTATTTACTTACTCTCAACATCCCACATTTGATATTAATACTATGATCGTTAAAGTATGAATGTAGGACGCTGAATTGAAAACATGAATCAAAAATGCTGTACGATTGTAACACTCGACTGTAGGACCTCAGGCTTCTTTTTTAGATTTCTGGGAGTTAATCAGCAAAGCAGAATCCTGATAGTACACTTAAACCTACTCTGTATCCATCTGAATACTCCTGAGACCAAAAACAAGAGGGAAAACGTCCAAAAATGGCTGCAGCTCCTCAGTCATTCATCCAATGTGGCTGTAAAAAGCTTATATTCACACCGTAATCTGTGTCATTTTACATCCAAAGTGCTAAGAGCACTGAGCCAAAATGTTAATGTAGTGATGTTCCAATGGAGCTGATGGGGCTCCTCTTCATGCATATGCATATTCCACTATCCTACCCAGAATCCCCTCTGCAACCCTCTCCCAACCTGACTCAGGTTTCTAAAAACGGTAGAAAGCTTAACGTCTGTGACAGCAGACGTCACACTGGAGGAGAGCGACTTTGATGAGACCCGTGCTTTTAGAGGCCTCTTTTGTTAGGAGGGAGCGAATCGCGCTTTACAAGATAAATCATTCCGCTAGCAGCCAGCTTATACCGAGTACAACGAGATAGGGTTGCCAAGGAAACCCTCCTGGAGAACCAATGATTTTTTTTTTTTTGCCGTACCAGCCTCCTTGATCTGTGCAAACAATTAATACCTTACCCAGGCAGAAGGGAGGGAGCGGGGGAAGTGGGAGGCAGGCACAAATCCCCAGGTGCTTAGCACAACACCACTCTCTCCCTTCAGCTATGTGAATGAGGACATGAGGTATAAAAAAATGTCACAAATGGATATTGCACTGGAGGACACTGAAGGATGATGTATGACTCATTGTACATTAATTCAATGAGAGAACAGCGTTTAGTCCATAAATCTAATCTGCACACGTGCTGTAGCACACATCACTAATGTCCTTTTAATGAATGTTTTGAAAGCAGTGCCATAAAAGTGCCATTATATCCCACCACGTCCATTTGTGGGGAGGCATTGTACTGGTGGCACCGCAGCTGAACAAACCAAGAGAACTCCTGATGTGCAGAGCTGCTGGGGAGCCATTAGGATCCATGAGTGACTTCGACTAGCCACAGATCAATGCTCCAGGGTCCTATCTATTACTGACATCCAATTATAGCAATGGACGTCCGCTTAGCACTGCTACTAAGTGCTTTAGTCTTTTTATTGACTACCTGTCAACAGTCTGCACACAGAGGAGCCATTGGCTAATAATCAGCTATCGATCTATCCACATGTCAAGATCACCAGCATGTTGTTAAGTGTGTAGAGTGCCAGGAAGGCGACAGTGGTCACAGTAGAAAGACATAACACTAACATGGGTATGACGTGTCCCCGAGCCACGAACAAGGCATTTCACATCGTTCAGCAGACGTAATTAGAAAGCTCGTTTTGTACGTTTTTGATTACTGCTTGCTTGCAATAAAAGTCATTACCCAACACATTAACTAAATGAGGAAATTGGCCGTAATCAAAAATATGTTGAAACTAGAATTATGGCCTACAGGATGAGGCGGTGGCTCAACCGTCCTGGAAGGCGAGTCAGGTCACAAACCTGTGCGTGCTATCCTAGAGCTGAGCGGTGAGCACTGGAGATGGCAGGAGGTGATGGTGCCTGCCTGCTTCATTGATTAATTACAGTCATTAAGTGGTTAGAAAGTCACCTCACCTGGTGTAAGGGGTGGAATTCACCAGCTGATTAAAATTAATCGCAGTCAAAAAGCTGCAGGAGGCCGAGGCCCTGGGGAGCACGCCGCTACTGCTTCTATAAACAAACATGACTTTCTTTCTTTTCTTTTTTTTTTAATTTCATGGACTTTTATTATTCAAAAATACAGCACAAAAAATACACACAAGAAAAAAAATGGTTTTCACACAGTGTGTAAACCCCAAAGGAGATCTTCATACAATATTAGTACGCAAATTTAAAAGCTACAGTTAATATTGTTAGTAGTAGTTGTCATTAATGTTCTGAGCACATATAGGGACAGTAACAGGATTACCTCCCTACGAGCTCATACAGCTTGTCAGCAGGTGGAAGTCTAACTAGAATTCTACAGGGGCCCCTCCTGACAGCAAATTCTCCTTGTACAATACACTTGCTCCCACACACACACACACACACACACAGTTGACACGGATGTAATTCTTTGTCTAGGCAGGCCCAGGTCTGGTGAAAGAATATAGGTGCCAATTTGTTTCTACAACTGTCATGTCTCCTTTGATGCTAGGATTCACGCACGCACGCACGCACGCACGCACGCACGCACGCACGCACAGTGTCAGAAATGTCCAATCATACCAGGGAGCATTTACATTGTACTGACAAGCCCCTCCTCTTATGTTTTCGATATAGATTTGCCAAGCACAGCACGCCAGAGCATCACAGATACGTACAAACATCATCTTTATATCATTCGACTGTGTTGTGAGTAGATAGGGTTACTTCGACAGAATATTTATACATACAGCCAGAGCCATTTATGTTATTTCTTTCTTTTTAAAAAACAAAAGCACATCGACTTTGCCAAAGTTTAAATAAAGTTTAAAAACCAACATGAAGTCATGTTTGGAATACAAAATAAAAGCTTTACGACACCGATAAAGGTTTTGTTAAGCGGTGGGTGAATCTATGAATTGAGCAGGTGTGGGGAATCCTAGACTTGACCTGATTGAGGCGACAGGAGACAATAGGCTCACTGATTATTATGCTGCTGTAGTGGCTGTGGATGATGCTTTAGGATGATGCTACTGCACATAGCACAGTGCACATTAGCAGAGGTGCTATGGCACAACTCAACTGGGGCAACAAGGCACAATAGAAGTCATTAGAATCCAGCTGTGAGGGCTGTGCAGAGGTGAACTGAGGGGTGGTGTGTAAGGCTAAAATAAGGAATAGAATAAGGCGTTGGAGCAAAAAGAAACAGTCTGCCCACTCCCAAGTAGTCATACTTTTTTTTGTTTTTTTTTGTTTTTTTTGTTTTTTTATAAAGTAACAGACAAGATGACGTGTTGGGCCTCCAAACATTTTTCCAAACAAGTGAAGAATTTGTCTAAGAGTCGAATAACCCCATACTGCAAGGACTGGCCTCGACTGCCTGAATGAACCTTTACATTATCCAGCAACGACTAACTGCAACATGAAGCTGAACCAAAGTGTTTGTAATGTTGACACTGAGAAACAATACTCAGCATTGTAAGGCTTATCACATTTGTTCCTCTTTGTGGGCACTTTCTTCACGCACACGCAGGCTTTACATCCTTCATTAAAAAGTCCAATTAACACTACAGACGCCATGAAAGGTTTCATATTGACCACAGAGAGAAGGTTAATCAAGATATTGGCTCCTTGTAATGCGACTGCAAATAAGGAGTATAAGATATGCAGCACCACTGAGGGGGGTGACTGCTACTACATATGAAAATTAAGATGTGGGGCTCTTGTCCTGCTAATGAGGTGTGTGTGTGCTTGGGGAGATCTAAATGTTTCGGGGGTCACTGAGGTTAGGGGTCTGTTGACAGTCAAACACAATCAAAGCTGATTGCTCAGTGAACCTTGTTGTCCAGCTGCCCTCATTATTTGCCTGTACACTACCTCCTCTACGATCTCTGGAGGAGGGGCGGGGGGTGGACACTGGTCTTTTATTGTTTTTTAAGCTTGGTCAAGAAGCAATAATCCCCCCAATCACAAGATGTGATGGCTTGAACCTCCCCCTCCCCTCCAGCCAATCCTGTCCATTTCAGCCCCCCCACATAAACCCTGACTGGACAATTCAAATAGCAAGCGGTTCAACAGAAAACGGCTGACCTAAATAGACTGTTTTCAACTCAGTCGAAAGATTAATTCAAGTCTGTGAATCTTCCTCTAATTAGTCTTTCAATTTTTCCAAAGGTCAGTCCATCTCATTTTACAATAAATGAATGGAATTAAAAACATGTCAGAAACTAGTAAAGACCGGATCACCTGACAAATGATCTTACTGTTATGGAGGCTTTTAAAGACAATAAATGAACTATATATTTCCCCAAGTCCCATCCACATACATAAACTTATATTCACGCACACATACTGCTGCAATTTTACACATACATGCATGCATACAGCTGTACAGCGGGCCAATTAGGGGCCTGGATCTGATTTGAACATACAGTATCTCTACAGCAAGGGCCATCTATATCAAAAAAAGACATGCATTCATTTATGTACAATATAATTTGTATATTGACCATTCTGCTTTATATCCACACTAATTTATTTTTTCTGTGAGAAAGTCCAGGAAGTAAAATTCATAAAAGTTTTTTTTGTATTTGTATTTGATAAAAAGTTTATGTGCTCTGTTGTGATTCCAGTACAACTCAACTTCTCTTCTCAGCACCACAGCAGAGCCAGGTCTGAGGAGCCAGGTCAAGAGGAGTATACTCCCATTTGTAAATAATTAAGAGCTAAAAGTCAGGTGAGTCAGCCCATCCCAGCTCTTGCTCCATCTTCATTGGCTTGTGTCCTTCTCCCTTCCTCCATTCTCTCCCCTTGTTACACGGTCCCTTCTCAGGAAGAGGACATGCTAGACGATCGAGCCGTCCCTGTTCTGGGCAGGGATCATTACGGGGATGGCCCCCATGCGGCTGAGGTTAGGGCCGGCCATCTTGGCACCAGAGGGTGGGGGCAGAGGGTTGTGGCTGGGTGGCCTCTCGTACTCCTCCGATGAAGGAATCTTGTCGTACTGGGGCTTCAGGGCGTACTCGTGCAAGTTGGAGGGCGACATGGAGCCCAGGGAGGAGCGCTGGCTGCCCACGGTGAAGCTGCGCGCTGTCGACACACGGCTCTTAGGAGGGGGAACGTCCTCTCTGGGAGGAGACGGAGACAGCAGCACATTTAGACAATAAGACAAGACTGTAAACTCATTTTCATGAGCTTACCTGAGTGTCAAGTCAAAGAAACGGAATATGGAAAATGATTTTCTGAGGTGCTATAAACCATAATGAAGTCTAGGTGTGGAATGTCTGGCACTTGCTTCCCACAGTGAGGAAAACAATGAATACTCAAGAAGTCTGCATGAGTCATTTCAAGAGCAAAACATGACTTCACTCAATAAAGAGGGACAACTAATTGGAGTTGCCCGTTTGATTGGTTGTGGCAGTGTCTGCACTGCTCAGCTGCACTGACTTTGTAATAGCCTGTAGATATTGAGCCGAGCAACCAAATGCAGCTATGCCCTCTACTCCCTCTGCCACCACATTAACAACTAATAAGCAGCAATAATCCAGTTAAATGCTCAATCAAACTGAGCCTGAGGGGCCAGAGCTTGTTTAGTCCATAGCTTCATGCTGTGGTGTTTCAGCGAATGTGTGTGTGTCTGTGTACACGAGACAGGACCAGTGGTCTAATCCTCTTTGTCCTACAGCATGAGCAGTGTCACATTGTGGTCTTAGACAGATTCAGTCCGCAGCAGAGTGATAGTAAGCCCAGTGGTTGTAAAGAGCCTGTGGGCCGGATGCAGAGTTGGATGGCGAGAGGGAGGGGGTTTGGGGGGGGGGGGACAGCCAGCAGCAGACATGAACAGGATCCACAGAGCAAACAAAGCTTTCAAACTGATTACCACAGCTGTTTATTTGAGGAGGGGGGAAAAAAAAAAAAAAAAAAAAAAAAACGCTGATGGAGAAAAAACAACGTTTTCATGGTTGTTGGGGCTGTTGGAGATGTGTGTGCATGTGTGTGTATGTATGTGTGTGTGTGTGTGTGTGTGTGTGTGTGTGTATCCAAGATGACCACTGGTCAAATTACAGCTCAGATTAATAATCACATGTATCCTCTTGCATTCTCTATGCTTACCTTTAATCCAGGATTATAAACCTGAGACACATTTCTCATTATGAAGCCAAGACTTCACAGTATCAGAAAATATTCCTCCATCAAAAGGGAGCTTTGGGTATCTTGTCAGCCAAATGTCATTGATGTTTTAGAGAGTTTACCTTATCTCATTGCAGATTTCCTTCTCGTACTTCTTCCTGTGACGAGCACGGCAACAGCAGAACAGGATGATGGCAATAATGATGAGGATCAGCAGTACAGTAATGATGGCTGCTGCAATGATGCCTGGAGTGTTGGGGGCTGGACAACACAAGGAAGAGAAGGGATAGAAGGGTGAGTGAACGTAGCAATGATTTATAACACTAATAGTCCTTAAAATATATTGCTGGATTATTTTCTAAAGAACAGTGGGGTTCTTGGTGGTGCATCTTTTTTAAGAGTTAAAACTTTTCTTAAGTGCAACAATCACCAATATGACCATTGTCCAGCTACTAGAGCTACAGCTAAGGGACGAGGCTGACCGCAGGTGGCAACAAAGAGTCAGGGCAAGAATGAATACCTCTGGCTCTTTGGCTCTAGGGCTGAACGATATACAAAAAAAATGTTGCCATCATTTTGGCAGATATTGTGATTGCGAAACGAGTCATGATTTCAGTTGGAATGGTTTTGCATTTCATTTTCATGGAAAATTTTTTTAAAAGGATGATGATGTGATTTTTGTTGAGACTCGTACCAAACAAGCATGTTCCTTTAGGTCTGGAGAATATGATCTGTAGCACCACAACGCTTCCTTTATGGTCTGTTGTGACACATTTTACCATTAACAAAATAATTGCAGTGATTTGGATTTTGCACTTGGCCATATTGCAATTTTGATAATATTTAGATTCATTTTGCAGCCCTATGTCACACCAACAAAAATATTGGTCCTGAGCCAGAAAAAAAAAAAACAAGACTCAGTAACAAGACCAAACAATGACAGCTGTAGGAAAAGTAAAGTAAAACAACAGCAGCATCATGCTCCAGCTCTCAGCTACAGCTGCTCCATGCTGCTGCAGTTGAAGATGACAGCGCTGTCACAGCGTGTGGTACCAGAGCTTCTACTTCCCAAGACGCTGAACAGCAGACATGCTGCCTAAATCCTCAAACCATGTCCATGACACTATTCAAATTTCTAAGTGTGATGGAATCTTTAGTGGGATTTCTACGTCAGTGGTGGAAGCACAGAGAAGACGACTGTGTGATGATGCTGCCACTTGTCCATTAATTTTCTATGTTTAGAAATGATAAACTGGCAGATTTTTACTGCAATCACCTCCATCTTCTATTTGTTGGTGAGGAAATACTGAAAACAACTGGGCCTTGACAGTTTGTGCGCCAGCAATGATAAATGTACTACCAGTGCAGCTACAGGAATAATATACTTTGTACTGAAAAGTTCATTTTTCACAAATGTATCATAACACTTTGGATCCCATGTGCACACCTTTTAGTCCAAGAAAGAAACAAAGCAGTTTCTGAAACTACAAAGTAAAAGATTTGTACTAATTATGTCTATACAGTTGCTATGGTAACACAGTGGCGGTCATTGGTCTGTACTGAAATATTTCAACTAGAGATGATTAACAGATTAATAGACAATTAATCAGCAACCTTTCTGATGATAAAATATTTTTCTAGTTATTTTTCAAGAAAAAATTCTGAACATTTGATGGTTCAAGCATCTTCAATATGAGTATTTGCTTTTGGTTGGATAATGAGACATTTGATAACACCACAGTGAGCTCTAGGAAATTTTGATCACCAATTGACACCGTTTTCTGATGTTTTACAGACCAATCAATGAATCGATTGAGAATATAACTGCTAGATTAATTGATTATAGAAATAATCATTAGCTGCAGCCCTTATGTCAACAACTATTTGATGGATTGCCATGTAATTTGGTAACACATTCATATCCCCTCAAGATTTGAGGGGATAAGATAAAAAAGAGTTTGTTGATCCTCCAGTGACATATCAGGTCAAGAATTTAATTAGTTAATTTTGTTAACGCAGTAAATATTATATCCACTAAACACAGCTGTGTCTAAGTATAACTTCACAGAGCTGCTATCATGACTGTAGACTCTTAGGTTTGTTCTCAGTATTACCACATGAGTAACAGTATGTATATTCTAGTCACATGGGGTAAATAACTGTAAAGTAGGGGTACAAACCCTTGAAACAAAGGTTACCATATTGTATCTGTAAAGGCTCCAGTGACAAGCTTTTATATTCCAAAAGTACATTAGCCAGCTGACCATTTGACTGTACTTTTAAAGAGGTGGTCAGAGAGCAGAGCAACAAGTCTAAATATGAAACAGGGTCATCAACATGAAGTTAGCTAGGTACTCACGAGGTGTTACGTTGAGATATAGTACACACTCCTCAGTGCCAACACGATTACTGGCAGTGCAGCGGTAGGTGCCAGATGCGCTGGCAGATGCATTCCTCACGTTAATGGTGCCTCCCACAGGATCTGTAGTGAGGGCGAAGAACACATCATTGAAGAGATGACAGTGTTTAACAGAAAGCAGACCTGTGTGAAGGACTTGGTAACTGCTTTGTATTTGTTTGGGAGTGATTGTGAAAGGGTCCATTACCCAGCACAGCAGAGGCGGGCAGCAGCTTGCTGTCACTGGTCTTCTCCCAGCTGTATTGCAGGGGGTTGGTGCCCTCCCTGGATATGCACTTCAGAACAACGTCTTTGCCTTCCTGTGTGGGGCCTTCGGTGTAGCAGCTGGGCTTGGACGGCTTCACTGTGAAGTAGAAGGGAGTGATTGAGAGAGGTGAAAAAGAGCAGGCACATCCAGGTGGTCACATTAACTCGGAACAACACGGTCCTCCTGCGGACAAACCTGCTTATTTTTCACTCTTGAATGTTGTGTGCATGCTGTGTGTCTGTGTATTGTGTATTCTGAAAGTTGATTTCCTCCCCTGCTCAAAGCACCAGTCATCAGCGTAATGAGAGCAGCAATCAGAGTAATTGATACAGCTGCTGTCATTACAGGAGCTGTCACTCAGGATATTTGCAATGAAGTATGGAGCACTGCACAATTGGACACACCAACACACATGTGCGAAGGGTGGAGGCAAAGCTTTCTTTAAGCAGAATGTGTGCAAACACTCCTCGGCCAGCCAACGTCTTGGCAGCAGATGAGATGGGGGACCCAAAAACAAACAGAGCGCCAAATTAAAAGCAGACCGACTCCAGCGAAACCCAGACACACAGGCAGCCAGGTGAGGAGGTAAAGGGGGAGGGCGGGAGAGAAAACGAGAAAGTGAACTATGATGGGTAATTTTAGGAAAGAAAAATCTGAGGCTGTTCTGTAAGTCTGTGCTCTGTGCTGACTGACAGAAAGCTGACAACATGGTGTGGTAATGGGTTCTGTAACAACAAAACCCTGGAGTGGGACTCTCCAGATCTGAACCAGGTGTCAGGCAGGAGGGGGGAGCTTAACAGGCATAACCGTAAGGATTAACAGTAGACTGACAGTACTGAGTGCTCCTACTAATCTAATAAACACACATAGGGTCAGGATGGAGGGGGCAATACAGAGAGAGCAAAAATTAAGCGAGCGGTGATGGACAGATGGTAGTGTGAAGGGAGCCAAGGCTGTACAGCTCCTAACTCACTGGCCTGCTCTTTGGTGCTGCTGCGTTGCACCTACATACACACTCATGGGCCACACAGTAAATGTCAGAGAGAGATGACATTTTGAATGCGTCTTTTAAAGGTGAAAGTCAACTCGACATGTCTAAGGGCTCGAACACACACAGCTCCTCATATTAGGACGGCTGTCCGACGAGCAGATTTATTTGTTTGAAAGATGAGGTCAAAGAGGAAGGTAATGGAGGCTGCAGGAGCACAGAGAGATAACGGGCAGAGCGATGCAGCCAACCTGGCTCTGTTAAATGAACAATGAATAGAGATTTATGAGGCGCACAAGGCTATCCTGCAGACTAGATAAGCAGAAAGGGATAGCTAGACTGTGGTATTCATTACAGTCAGAAGGCGCACAACTTCAGAGAGTGACGACTGAATGTTGAATGGTAAACTGAAATATAAGCGACTAGTGGTCACTAAAGCCAAGTAGACAGATCCTGGATGTGACAAGGATTGTCTGGAGGCAGGCACAGCTGAGAGACTAGCTGTTGGGAGTACAGGTGGGGTCTGGTCAGAAACAGTTGTGAGCTGCTGACATACAGAGCTGTACTGCAGGTAGGTACTCTCCTTCTGTTATCTTCAATGTCCCGCTGCAACCAGAGGAGAATACACCACGAGGGATGCTATCTGCTGTACTACACTACCCAGACACCATGTACACTGCAGATGTCAGCATGTATGTGTGTATACCTGCATATGGCAGTGTTTGTGACAAGCAACGGCAACACCCAGTGTATAAATTGAGGTATGTTTATGTTGGCGCACACATTGCATGTGTGCCTCCCCTGTTCTGAGGACCATCCACCTTTTGACAAGATCAACCTGAAGGTAAAAATGCAGAGCAGGCAAGATGTCCTCGCCTCTCCTTGTCAGTGTTTCTCTGCTCAGAACACCCCAGACCCCTGGGGTCAATAGCTAGCAGCCTGTCAGCTTCTGTAGCCTCCAGCTTCTTCTCCCTCTCTCACACATGCACAACTCTATAGCTTATGACATGTGCATTTTAAACACAATCAAAGTTAGACTTACGTTTTTGTCACAAACCAACAATCAAAAGACGGAGTTAGGACCTCGACCATCTTGACAGTCGATACTACAATATAGTGACAGTGACCCTGGAATAATCATAAATTAAATGTTTTCAGAAATAATTTACAAGGAAAGACATGTGGGTTTTTGATATTTTACCACAGGCACCTGAGCAGCATGAAATGGATAATAAATATAAGTGTTAATTAAATGTGCAGCATATTAGACTGGTATTGATTCAACATACAACCTCACTCCTATGCTGTTTACTCTTCTATGCAGGATTGGTTAACTTGGCAGTTTTGATGAAACGGGACTGGGATTAAACGAAATGTAACAATAAGCATGAAAACAACTGATGAATCATCAGATCAGCTGACTTCCCTCACTGGTGAGGAATGTGGAACTGCAGCACAGAAGAGAAGCAGTCACAGCAAATGTTTCAGCGGTGGTGAATCACTGATTCCTTTTTTCATGTTGCTTCTGGTCAGATCAGTTTTTATGTAAAACAGCCTCCCCATGGGCCTTAGTCAATGGTTCTTGGGTCAGATGTAGTTACAGTAAATGGTCAGATTATCTTTGGCCATTCATCGCTTTTATGAGGTAGCTGCTTAGTGGTGCCATAAAACATGACATCAGAGAAACCTGTTTGTTTTTCTGATAGCTCGTGTCTTTCTGGTCAAACTGGTTGGTGCAGTGCAGCCACTTTAGTACACATGATATCATGTCAACAGGAACGAGCAGCCATTTTCTGGAGCCCGTCCTATCTTTAGAAAGGAGAAACTATTCTGATAACAGGGCTGTGATAGCAGCACAATACGCAGCTTATCCCACAACACACACACCAGTGCGGCGCATGTGGGTTGTTTTTCCCCATATGCAAATACCAGGCAGGTTTCGGGAGGCGATTTACTTTCGACATCATTTAGTCAGTGGACCGACCAGCAAGGCCAATGTGTGTGAGTGTGTGTTTGCTTAGGCAGTGAATCATCTGACTTATACAACTCTCATGTGTCACCCATCTCACCCTGTGCAATAAAAAGCCAGCTGAGTGCATAGACTCCATTTATAAGATTTATCCAGCGTTGTCTTTAAAAAGACAGGACAGACATTGTTTGCTTTGAAAATTATTATTCTATTAATTGCCTACATCTGTACTATCTGGCTGTACTAATGAGTAAATTCAGGTTTTCAAAATAAAAAATATGTATTCATATTATATCACCAATTATTCAGTTCACTGTAATTGAAAACAGACATTTATCTGACAAACTGCAAGGGGCAAATACTTAACATAAAATAATAAAACATGACCATAATATTTGGTGGTGAAAAAAAAAAAAAAATTCAGGATTATGAATTTAGACATAATCAGAGAGCATCTCGGGTGAATACAGAATTGTATCACAAAGAGGGCAACACTCTGCAGCCACTGGGAAGGTTATGCACTCGATTTTAGAAGGGATTACATCAAAACAGCCAAGGAGGGCAAAGGGCGTGTGATTTGGTGCATTTCCACTGTGTGGAGAAAAAGAATTTACCCTGTGAGAAAAAAATAAAAAATAAAAAAAATACTGCTAGCCTAACATGAGTGGTATCAGTGGTTTGTCCGGCTGTAGCAACTGTTCCACTCACCCATGACGATCAGCAGCATCTTCCTGCTGCGGATACCAGGAGCCTTCTTCACCTTGCACTGGTAGGTGCCCGAGTCTGACGATTTCAGCCCCGTCAGGTTGATGGAGGCGTCCCCGTTTTTGGGATCGGCTGAGTTGAAGTGGACTCGACCCTTCATGGGTGCATAGTAGTCCTCGTAGGCCCTGTCACCTGAGTACAGGATCACCTGGTCATGGAAAGGGAGTGCAGGGAAGAGAGTTAGAGTCAGGAACTTGAACCTACTGAATGATGTCATGCATCTGACTTATCTGTTTATGGTTATAAAAGTCCTTCTAGAGAACAAATAAAGCAAAGGCCTTGAAATAGCTGCTGTGTGCTTTCTGAAAGCAAAGGCCTTGCTCACTGAACCAACCAAAATATATGGAAGGGAGAAAGCACCGTTTCTTTTATCTCTGCAGTGCCCTTCAGCCTGTGCTGCTCTGCCCTTTCTGTGCTTAAGAAGAATGAAGGTGGAACAAACAAAGCCACCACTGTGGAGCCAAATCAACACCTGCTGTGTCAACAAAGAGCAGTAGCCCCCAGATCTGTCCAACTACCCCCCCAGTACACACACACACACACAGACAGACACACAGACACACAGACACACAGACACACAGACACACAGACACACACACACACACACACACACACACACACACACAGAGTCAGGGTCTTGAAAGCAGCAAGGAAATGCCTGGAAATAAAGGCCAGGTGGAGCCAACAAGCCCTATAGCTGGTAGCAGGGGTGATAGTGAAGGGAAAAAACTAAAATACAAGGAAAAGAACGAGGAGGGAAGAAGAACCACAAACAATGAAAAGATTTCTCATTCTCTTTTAGATACACTGGCATATTCTTCCACATTTCCATGGAGACAGTCATCAACAGGCTTTTTCTGTGCCACGATCAACACCAGGCATATGCACAGCAATACCCCTGGGTGGAGAGGAGGAGAGAAGAAAAACTAAACATGGCAGGAGGAGAGGAAGAATAATGAACCCATCAGAGGAGGCAGAGCACTCAAAGGAAGCATGAGAGGAGCAAAACAAAGGGAAACAGAGTCAGTGAGGTTCTACTGAGTCTACACCAAGTTGCCTTGGTGCTCCATTTCCAACTGGAAGACTAGTTTCTGGAGCTGCAGGGTAGGCACGCTCTCACTGGGTGCTGTGTTCAGCTTGTACGTATTAGCCATGTAAACAGGTAACTGGGTTAAAATTCCACTTGAGTCTCAGGGGAGGGAAACGTATCTTTCTAACTTCACTGGGGATCAGAGCATCAGCAGTAATAACAGTGATATGTGAAATGAGACGACGGAGGAGAGGAAATTAAATTGCCCCAAGCTAAAGAACTCTCACTTGGCTTCAACCACTTCACAGGCACACAAATAGGAGTGCTTACACACACACACAAACGCACACACCTCTAACTAAAAAAAAATAAAAATCTTAACTGCACAATAACCTTGAGAATCATGATCCAATGAAAAAAAATCCCATAAAGAGCCTGGGGAATGAAAATGAAAAGGGCAAATGACTAGACAAGCTGGCAGAGGCTGGAAAGGACAGAGGAGCACCACTGTCTGCTGTGTTTCATAACAGATAGGTCACTCAATGATACAATCGCCACCTGGCCTGGACTCGGTGGACGGATCATGCTGCACAAGTAAAAGACCTCTATTGGCCAGGCTTAGTTTCATCAGATACATGTAAAGATGAGGTCATTGTCATGTGATGCTGTTGCTCAGGGAGGGAAGAGGAAGAGGTGCAGATCATTTGAGAGGCAAAGCAGAGGACTGTGACACCTGTATACTCTAAACAATCCCGCAGAGCTCGGAGAGTGTTGTGTCTTTGTGCTCCCACAGAGCCTTTTAATCTGAAAAACTCCCATGTACTGCTGCCACGTGCCTTTACAGGAACCGCTCTGCTCCAAACTGTGTTGCAAGGTTAAAGCAGAAACGCTTCCTGAAAACAGAATTAGAGTCCTTCATTACTGAGACTATAGAGAGGCTAACAAAACGTGGCCACGAGCATGTGCGGATCCTCGCTGATATTCTTAAACAAATCGTGTCGTGGCTTTTACGTCCAAATCCTCCAATACTTCGTCAATATACACAAATTCCTGTCACAATAATTTGAGTAAACAAAAGGCGCTGCTGCTGCACTCAAGGACAAAAGAGGCCGTTTGTATGACATGGGATAAAGCCGTGTATTTTCAATGCATTTTTCTCAGCAAACTCCTCTCCCATTCCCACCATTCAAATTTGGTTTTCATAATTGTTTTCCCTCATTGTTCTCGTAGTGGTGGCAAAGACACAGGGCACACCCTCTTTTCAGCTAATGTGTAGCTGGGGAATGAGGGCCAAATGCAAATGACTCTTACTGTAGGCATGCTTGGCATCTCTCATTCAAACCAAACAAAGCAACATGCATTAGCTATGCTCCACCAGCCTCAAAAAGACCCTGATGATATGTGGGATATATTGAAGGGGGGCATCACTCCCCACCAGCTACTGGACTGAATAGATAACATTGTGGCATTACGTCCGATTGCATCAATGCAGAGAAAATACAGCAGGGATATATGGTTCATTAATATGAATTAAATTCTTAAGTTAAAGGTTACTTGCACATGCCAGGCACAACACATAGCCCAGCTCCATGTCTGCAGAAGCAGGGCTACCAGTTCCAAGTTCTGCAACCACAGGGACTGATCCTGTTGACTAGTTCTCCCCTTTCAAGTTGTATCTGATAGTGACTGTTCCTTTAAGGGCACCCAGGATTTTCTCATCTCAAGCCATGTGAGCAAAGGTTCTCCATGGTTTCTGATCATCTGGGAGCCTCTGGCTATAAAGTTTAGCCTTCCTTCTCATTGCATTGCCTGACCTGGTAGCTTTGGTCCAAGCAGATCAGCCTAATTCCACTGAACACTGTCACATATATTAAAGCAGCCCCTTGGAATTAATATGCTGCTAATTACAAAGACTTTAATCTGTGCGTGACTTCAATTTGGTTAAAGGCTATATGAATGTGAGTGTGTGTGTGTGTGTGTGTGTGTGTGTGTGTGTGTGTGTGTGTGTGTGTGTGTGTGTGTGTGTGTGTATGTGTATGTGTGTGTGTGTGTATAGCCAGCAAAATCAGATAGGTCAAGGAGAACAAATACGTTCAGAGAGAGATGTCTGGCCAGTTTAAATTCCAACAAAGGTTTAGCGACATTAATGGTTGCTCAGCAAAATGGTATATGAATAAAACAGAAAATAAACTGTGGAACCAGATGCAATTTGGGAACATTTTTGGGCGAGGGAAGGGTGCTATTAGGGAACCACCCAGCCTGAATTATGAGTTCACTTGTAGCATCGAGACACTGAAAAAACTAAAAACACTGATATTGCTGTAAAAAGCACTGATATTTTACTATAAGATGAAATCTTGATATGCTAACAACAAACAATATTGACAGACTTTCTGACTCCACCTCCCTTTTCTCCAGTTCACCAGCAAAAAGAAAGTAGGTCAAAGACAAATAGATGGGGGTAATTAGTGTCTCCTTAATGGCACAACTCCAGATAGCACTCCAAAAAGCAGAGCTCTAGCTGGGTGAGAGCAGAGCATCAGTGGACAAGGGGGACAGTAGGTGGATGACAGAGATGGAGAAGCCTAATGATGAGCCTGTGACCTACTTATAACATTCTGGAAAAACAACACAAACAAACAAAAAACTAAAGCCACAGGAAACAGGTGAAAAAAAACAGGTGGAGGAGAGGGATGCGAAAGCTCTGTGAAAAGTGGGAGATAGGGGGAGTGGTGAGACAAGGGGGAGGACCACACCACTGGAACGATCTGTAGCAAGAATCTGTCTCTATGGCTGTGAAAGCCCTGAGGGCATTGGGAGTTCCTGTAGAGCTGTGTAGTCTTCCCTTTTCATGGCTGAGGGCCATGCTGGAAAGGAAAGATGCTGCCTGGGATAAAGGGAGCTCCCATCGCTCGCCCCGTGTCTGTGAGAGCGCTGCAGAGAACAAATGCTCCACAGAAATACTCGTGGATCAGATTACATTTGTCTCGCAAACTGTATGCTTCCTATGTTACTTTGCAACACCTCAAGAATATACACACCTGATACATAACATGTATTGTATTTCACCGATTGCACAATACACCAACACACACCACCGCAGCAGAGCAGGTTAGTGCGAAACCACACACACTGAACAAATGGAGGACTTTTAAAGCCTTTAATCCCAATAAGAAAACAAAACAATTCTACAGCTACATACGGAAGATCAGGTTGTAGGAAATCCTCCTAACTACCAACCAAAAGGGAACAACAAAGCTTGACTTCACTGTACACTGAAAAAATGACCGTTAAATAGATAGTCGGTCAGAGAACAGGTAAGTGCCAAATGTTTCATATGCTACTTTTAAATAAAACTGCATTTCTGTTTGCAGGGAACATCTGCACGTACCACTTTGTCCTCTTTCTGGTTGTCGGAAGACAGCAAGCTCCATTCAATATCTAGCGGTCCAGAGTCTTCAGGGGCCAGAGTAAACTGGCAGTCCAGCTTCACACTCTGACCGCTGGCCTTCTCTATGGAGGTCGGCTCTGTAGAGGTAATCTCCAGACCCGAGACCAAACCTGGACAGAGACACACAAATAAAGGATATTAATGTCAACACCGCAACATGCGTAATCCTAATAAAAACAATTAGACTTGCGAGGAAGTGTAATAGGGTCCAAGCATCACCATGCAATTCCAGAGTTTCTGCAGCGTTAACCAAATAAAGAGGGAAACCCAGGAGGGACAATACAATCTACAATTATTTATTAAGTCCATGAATTTATTTACATTGATATCACATTTATGCTTCCCAGCTGGACCCAGATAAGTGGCACATAATATATGAATGGATTAAACAATTAGAAGTGATTGTTCTTTTTAAGTTTTTGCTAAAATTGATATTGAATGAATGCAGAGACAGTGTGCAACATCGACAGCCCACAATCAGACATGAAAACATTTTATAACTGACATCACTGCCCATTACTGCCAACACCAGGCAAAGACAATATTTAAGACAAATTAAATCTAAGACGTTTTACCCCCTTCTAAGGCTTTATTGGCTAAGTAATGTGTTCACGTGCAAGTTATTTGACCGTGTTTTTTAGTCGACCCAAATAGAAGCAGACACACAGCTAAAAACTAGGTCAACAAGGTAAAGATAAACATTTAACTATTATCTACATACAAGTTAAATGTTAAATAATCAGACCTAGAGGCTTTTAGAGAGCTGAGATCATTGCCGATTACAGCTTTAATAGGTGTTTTGTACAGACTTAGACTACCACAGACAGGCACACTGCAGGGATCAGTATATTTAACCTTTATTTAATCAGGTAATTTCATTGAGAACAGGATCTCTTGTGGAAGACAGATCTGAGTGCAACAGACAAAGACAAACAAACATTTAGCCTGACAAACAAAAAGGACAAATACAACAAACACTGTCTCTGATGCTGTATGTGCTTCTGTTATATCTGGCTAAGTTACCATGACCATGAAGATCATTGAGTCTTCATGCGCCAAAAGTTTTCTCAATAAATAATTTTTCATCTCTGTCATATGTGATGTTTTTATCAGTGAAGCTCAGGATAACATGGTGACATTCTGAATAAGTATATCAAATTACTAAATTATAGGCTCCACATACTCGACATAATGACTGTTAATAACATCTGTGCTCGCTTTTATGAGCAAAGACATCTACAAACTGTTAATTAATCCAACGTATTTTAGTGCAACGTTTCAGCCAGAAGGATCTGAGCAGGCAGAATTTTCTCATCTATTTTTCAAGCTTCTTTTTTACGCAATGTGACTATCAGAGGCAGAAACCGCCTTTCCTTTACTTGTGTCTATTTCTTATTCATTTAGCAGTTTGTTCATGCAGAAACCAAATGAGCGAAACCTCTGCAGTGATGTTGTGCTGCTGTGAACTTCAGGAGACAAACACACCACCACATTCTGACTGAAAGCACCTCTGTGATTAATAATCGCTTACACGGTTTTCACCTGCTTTTTGATGCATGATGACGTTCATTGTGAACAGAGTACAAAATGACTCACAGAAAACCAAAGATTGTAAAGTCATAAGGTCTTTTTTTTTTCGTGATGGAAAGTTCTTCTGCTTCTATCTAATTGTATCATTTGAATGCAAAGTTGATGAAAGCTGTTTGTAGTGACTTGATTCACAGGCACATTTTCAATCAGCTGTCAAATGTTTTGATTCGAGGAATGTGTCGGTGATAAAATCAACATGGCTGCATCTGATCTGTAAAGCAATGTAGCTATTAAAATATGCATAATGTAAATCACACAGAGCGAAAAAAAAAAAAACAAGACTAATAGAGCAGAGCGTAGCTGAAGGAATGGTGATAATAATAAAGACTGTGACCCATCACCAAACTGGAACAGACTCTTAAGCATTTATTCTTAGAACGAATAAACATAATTTCCTAGTGACATCAACTGGGTTAAGATTCTCCATTCAATAAGAGATTTAAGCCCCGGCAAGGAACACAGTCCATAGAGAATGGAGTTGTCACATGCTGCCTCGACACATTAAAATCCTTCTGACAGCCTGCCACCTTCCCGTTAGTGAGCGGGGGGGCGATCAGCTTTAACAAAAAAAAAAACAAAAAAAAAACACCACAATATGTTGCTGCTAAAAGGCCTGTAAATGTGTAGCAAACACTTATCACGTCGCACAGATGACACCAAACACACTGATAACAAAGGAGATTTTTACTCCAACTAAAACATAAAAACAAAAAAGCATTTTCCTCAGCTACATCTGCATCTCATTTAGCTGCTTTTACTCTTAACTGAGGTAACTCTAATGTGCAAAGATAATTGGTGAAACGGGAGCGAAACCTGGCAACTGTAAACACTTTGTTAACAGAAAAATTATCCTCTTCTCTCTTGTGGGAAGGCTTTCTCTGATTACAAGGTTTCCATAAAAGACGAACAAATGAGAGCACAAAGGGACTGAAACTAGTGTTTAAAGTGTGTCATGTAGTGTGGAGGGTTTGCACCAGGGCTATGGCCTTCTATTAACCTGGCAAGAGGCGCGCGTGACATGCTACGTCGGCTGCACTGCTTTACATTCAAATCTATGTACAAGGTCGAGGTGAAAACCATATCAACTTTAAATGATGGAAATTTTTATTCATTTATTTTTTTGTGATTGTGTGCTGGAAGTTTCTAGATCCTCAGGATTATGGAGGGTGTGAGCTACAGGTTGAGGTCCCTGCCTCATCTCCTGTCCATCAGCTCTGTTCCAGCCTCAAACCATACTCCCCCTCTGGGCTGAGGCAGACAACTGAATGAAAATACACCACCCAAGTTTATACACATATAGAGAGTGACAATCTCAGTCACACCGACTATTGTTGAAGCTCATAGCCTGTAAGCATTTGATAGTGTTGCGAAGCAAAAGCATAGTTTTATTCCCTGGCCCCCGGTGCGGCAGCTGGTCGTTTCGGCCCACAGATTTTGACAGATGCCCTTGATGGGAACGATCCACTGCCTCCAGCAGAGGCAAGAGAAACGCGGAGCAATAAAGAGAAAACTGAGATATGTGTCTATCACTGTCAAAACGCATACACAGCTTGGCATCTGCATGACAGCAAGCTGTGTCGATTCATCAAGCACTTAAAGAAGCTGGGGTATTTTTCAAAGTTGCTTAGAAAGGAGAGAAAATTGCATTCAGAGAAAAAAAAGAAAGTATTCAGCTGGAACAGTTTATCAGTTACTGTGTTCTGTGACAGGTAATAAGGGACACTGTCTGATGTACCTCTTAAATCAATGACAGACCTGTGAGGCCTGTAAATCACAGTTCAGCCAGAGGCCTTTTTTATCGAGTACCAGACTAATGCGAAAGAGTGCCATTTCAGAATATCCTACCCTCCACTGGCAAATAGATTTGCTTGCTTAAACCTGTCTGGCTAGTGGCTCAGGTGACAGCAGCGACAGAGAAGAGGCACTTAAACAGCAACAGTGTGACGTAAGGTTAAACCCACATTTAATCAACAGACAGGAAAAGTATAAACCTGATTAATCCAGTCACTGCAAGTATAAACTCAAGTAGAAGGACTGAGCTAAATGTAAATGAGATCATCTTAGTAGTTTCTTATGAATCACAGTAAATCTATAAGCAAGGCAGGCAGACAATGTTCAGGGCCCTTAAAAATGGAAAACCATCTTCTTCTTGAGTAACTGGATCCAACATCAACACACATTTTCTGCTGAGGTTTGAACAGCTATTTCTCATGAGCGATTTCTGTGTTTGTGTCCTTTTCTCACCAGTTTAATGTGGGTGGGACTCAGAGTTTCAACATTTGAATCAATATGTTTTAATGTCTTAATAAATACTGACTATGCATGTTGTTCCCCCAAACATTAACTTTGATTGTTGCTCATTCAGTCATGGATATTTAATATTACAGAGAAGATTTGTAACATGTTTTCAGGGCCTTTAAGAGTCAAAACAACCATTCACAAAGAATACTACTAATATCAATAAGACACATGCCCCAGCCCTTGTCATCTTTAGCAATAGAGGAAAACAAAAATGTCACATTTTTACGCCTCATGTACAAGCACCCAGATGATCCCGACCTTTCACTGAAATGCAAATCACTATAATGGAGATCAGTAAAAAATCCCTTTAATCGTTTTAATAAAAATTCGACTGAATGAGGCTGTAAACTACACAGCAAAAAGGAAACGAGCCCAGTCAAATCAATGGAGGACATTTAAACACTAATATACCATAGGGAATAAATAAAAAAGTAATAATACAGACTTGAAAGAGTAAACCATCATGCACTGATGAAGAGCCTCAGTCTATTAATTGATTAGTTGAACCACCGAAACTTAATCTAAAACTATTTTGGGAATCAATTAATCAATTAAATATTCAATATAAATATAAAGTTTATATATAAATATAAACTTCAAACATTCATTAGTTTCAGCTTCTATAATGTGAGGATTTAGTTTTCTTTGTCATATATCACAGTAAACTGAATATCTTTGAGTTTGGACATTTCTCCTTTATCTTTTTGAACTTAAAACCCCAGAAAACACTTTCAAATGTTCAGTGTTTCTCTACAACACTAAATATTTATTTCTTCATGTGCAACCATGAAAGTTAAAGCTTAGAAAACAACATTCTCAAGAGTTTAATACTTCAAAACTCAGCTAATCACAAATGTCATCAGATTTTCAAATTTTACAAAATCCTGATTGGTGAACAACAAAAAACACAGGAAGTCTCCCGTACACAATAACTCAAACTGTTCAAATTGGGTATGTTCATGAAGGACCTCATTCCTCCGACAGGAACAGTAAAAACATGATTGAGAAGTTTTTTTTAGGGCCGTTAAGATCACAAAATAAACCCCACTAACAAGGAAATGCTTGCAGCAAACCCTATGACTGATGGGGGATTTCAATGCAACTGGCTGGAAAAATCTTCCCCTACCACTAGCTGCTCATGGTGGATTAACACAAACAACTCTCTTATCATGCTCAAAATGGCACAGTGTTAATCAGTAACACACTGTACATAAAGTGT